GTTTCCTAAACATTTTTGATAAGGATACTCTACCTATAATACTTTTCTACTTGAACGTTTCATATGTAAGTATGAAGAATTAGTAACACAAGGTTAAAATATTATTTTAAAATTCTGATTTATAAAATACCATTGAGGAAATATCCTAAATCTTGGTGGATCCTCTCATAGGAACAATCTGACATGTTTTAAAGACAAATTTTAAAGCAACTTTATTTTAGACATAAAGTAAAGGTTAACTGATTAAATTAAAGAATGTCATTTTAAAAAATAAGATCTGATTTCATGGAATAGCCAGATCTGCTTTTAATGACAGTAGGCTTCTATGTTCTCATACCCCAGGCCCTTTAATATCATATTGCATTACAGAAAGTTGCAGCTATTTGAAGAATCTTTTGTAATAAAATATCCTCCTCTCCCCCAAAAAATTGTTTTTAAAGATAAACATTTATTATAGCAATCATACATTGCTTAAGAAACTTCATTTAATAACATTAATGTATATCAGGGCAGTATGGATTTAATCTGTTTTTTTAAAAGAAAATAGTACTTTTTTGAAGGAATTCCTTAAGTTATGGGGAAAGATTAACAATTATTAATCAAACAGAAAAACCTACTACCTGTCTTTTCCAGAAGGGAAAAATCTGTTTATGAAACAATAACAGAACATTTTAAATTCATCTTGAAAAGATCTTAAAGTTATATTTTCAAGGTTTAATCTGGTTAGGGCTCAAGGAATTTGAAGAGAAAGGAGAAAGTAAATTTGTGGGAGAGAAGGGCTGAGCTGTTGACAGTGTGTTTTTATAAGCAATAAAATTATTACTAATGTAATAAGCATAAAAAGAATGGAAAAATTGTTTTGAATGGCTTAATAATATTAGTAATTTCTGCCCATAAATTTTTACTTAGACTTGCAGGAAACGCCTTCTCTCAAAGGCGCAAATACATTTTCTTGTATTTAGCAGGGGCGCAAAAACAAGTTGTATAGTATCTTAATGAGTTTTAGAGGGCTTGGGAATTCAACAATTAGCTGTGATATTTGACCTTTAACGTTCTTGGCCAACATGCCAATCTGGCACTTACAGTATGTGCCACAGGAAGGAATGCTGCTATTAACAGGAAGTCTTTAGTTGGAATACTAAAAGCTGATTGAATTTCTTTGTTTTGCACTTAAATAATTTAGTTCCATGAGAGGTGGGAGGGAAAGGGAGTGAGAAGGGAAATCGCATGGAAATGGAAGGTGATCCTCAGGGTTATACAAAATTACATAAAGAGGAAAGGAGGGGTAAAACAAGAAAATACAAGTGGAAGAAATGATTTACAGTAGAGGGGGTAGAGAGAGAAAAGGGGAGGAGAGGGGAGGGG